AACGTATGAGCTGGTATACTGCGAAACAATCGCATTAATTCTACTTACTACTATCTGCCAGTCAAAACAATTATGGGACATCACATTTTTATTTCCTCTCAGCCCAGCGTAGTATAGATATGATAGGCGCAAACGCCCTACCTCAAGACCTTAGATCCCAATAAGGCGATTCTCAAGCCTAGGAAAAAGAACTATTCAAAATCTAATCCTTCACCTCCTTAGGGGATCTGAGCTATGGTTCGTGAATACTTCGCACTTAAAGACTCGGCTCTCTGGTTACAGATATCAGAAAACTCTGTGGAAATCTCAGGAGCTAATCATTACAAAGCAGTTAGAATATCAGAATCTGTCGCACGGAACTTCTTTTGCAACAGCGGTATAATAGGCCCCAGACCCAAGATCGAACCTCATCGATTAGATGGGGACCACAGACTCAAGATCGATTATCATCTTCAAGGGCATGTGAAACTCGTGGGCTGCTGCACTCCTCGTTGCTGCTAATAAATGGCGACATGAATAAGCAGTTCTTACCAAGCAACACCAAGCGAGCATACCACAACATGATCGCAACAATGGCGACACGCAGAACTGCACACGGCCCCCTCCCGAACTCAGGACAAATAAGGAACTACGCGACACATGCAAAGGCGCTTCTTCATACACGCTGCTCCTCTTTCTAACAACCTTAAAAATACAATTCGTTAGGAGACTGTTTATATAACGTCCGGACCACTAATGTCGAGATGAGTAGCGAGGTAGAAAACAAATTTACAAAAAATAAACTTAATTAATCATAACTGAAATAAATAATCTTAACCGAACAATAATCAAACTCCTGCGTCTCTCCGCATACTTTGCAATATTCCACTGAATATACAAAAGTAAAATTGCAAACTGAATTCTGCGAAACGGAAACTTCGCACATTGTTTCAACAGCAACAGGACAGCACAATAAATTTACATCGTGACTAATAAATAAAAACTAAGCTTGTTTATTTTTTTTAATATCAAGAATTAAATATCTATGAACTCTAGATTCTGCTGTAGTCAGTAGTGAAATACTAATTAATTTATTGTACTAAGTACAGTAGAAGTTTCCAGAAGCAGAGCTGGCTTCAAACCTATTTCCTAATTCCCTTGCCACCTGCTATTGGCGATTGTAACGACCGATAGATGGCGTTTCAAATTCGTCTGCAACTGCTAATAGACCTGAACCTGAGTTGTTTGTACTGAGTTAGCTGCTGTTGAAGGCCTGGTATTATAATGGATAAAAAAAATGCAGATTTCAACAATTTTGGACTTTATACAAGGTACCAGTTCTAGTAGTTGTATAAAAGAAGAAGCAATTTTTGGCTTCAAACAATTGAAAATTTACGGTATTGAGGCCAGAAAAGATGCAGAAATCGTTATAGAATGAAAGCAGATGAAAAATTAAATCATTTCATTGCAGCTGCAAAGCTGGAGCAGGTGAATCTTGCAAACATTGTGTTTCTGTTATGTTATTCTGCCATGAGTAAGTAAGATTTAATAATTTTGAATTAGTCAAACGCGTTAAATTTTTCACTCAACTATTGCGTTTCTGTTCATTAAACAAGCAAATAACCGTCATGATATAAAATTCATGTCATCTAGTATCAGTATTTGTATTGATTATATATTTTTAACTAATTAAAATAAGTATTTTTTACATGCTGCGATTTTATATATTATTCAATTTGTCATAAAAATGGATAATTTGACTTAAATCCAATAACAAAGTGGTCAGAGATATTACATAACTGTGCTTCTTACATATTTCAAACATTGATTTTTTACACAGATTTTGTATATAATATTTAAGGCAATAAAACATCATTGAACAGTCTTAAAAATCTTAATCTTACCTTTTAATGATGCAGATTGCATGGCTGTATATTTAATTTAGAATACGACTGTAATCCTCAGTCAGCCTCACAAAATTTTCAAATTTTCAACAGAATGCCTATGATATGTTCTTCATATATCGTTCATGAAAGTCGAAAAAAGTCATTAACAAAACGAGTTAAAAGCAATATGACCTTTAAAGCTGACATTAATATTTCACAGATGAAATTTATAACCTTCCGAATGAAAACATTTATAAACTTCTAAAACGCAACTTGGGATGTTAAAGTAATAAACAGGAAATACTTACGTAGCAAATTATAATCGCTATACGTGAAGTGATTAGAACATACACACATTCGTGATGAAATAGATTTTCCGATACGAAGCAGCCTTATCCATTCGTCTCTTCGGCTAACAAGAACGTTCGATCCAAAGCAAGATTTTCTTAGTCTACTCTTTACATTCGAAAATTTATGGAAAATTAATTCCAGGTTTTTAGAACCTTTTGAAGCACAATGAGGCCCACAACAGTTTGTATTGTCTTTCTTGTTTGCACACGCCATTCCCATTAATTCCACTTCACAGTACACGATAACACTTACTACAACAAACCAACCGTTTTATTCAATAGCGCTGCTGTTCCTTAGCGCTATTTTTGTGTCAGTGATTCGCTACCAGAGGATGAGCATTTCGCTACAATCTCTACCTTTTTAATTGTATAGTTTTGTTGGTTTCTCCTCCACCGGATTTTGCCTGCCTGAGAATAGACTTACACTAACAATTAAGCCGACTTTTTCAGAAATAATGAACCCCAGTAATATGGGTCAAATCAAATTATGACCAAACAAAAATATGTCAAAAATACTGCATACAATCATTTTTGCATTTCAGTTACATTTTTCATTAAGCGTTATTATCTCACAATATTGATTGAAAAAAAAAGTAGCACGACGCCTGAGGTTTTGGTAAAATTTGTATGTACCTTACTAGCAGGTTCTGTGCTTTAGACGAAAATGGCTTAACTTGGAAGGCCAAAATGATGAGTTATTTGTGTGACTTTGAAAGGTCTGTCTTGTGGAGGCTTTTGCTATTTCAAGCCTAATATGTGGGTGATGAGAGATGCATATGGGTAATTTTAAGCAAGCAGAATATTTAAACTTACATTAAAATGTAATTAATAAATATGGCATAAAATTTATTGACGTCTCTGTAAAGGTAACAAATACGCATCAATCCTTTTAAGCATTATTACACTATTTTGAGTTATTTCTAGTTAATAATGTTGATCTAGTTTGTCCAAGGCATGCAACGGTGATGTTCTGGTATCGATTCTGTGCAGTTGTCGGTTCCACTTCTATGCCATGTCGATTTTACTCCGGGTTAATTCCATCCAGCCCTTTGAATGTAATACGAAAGCACAGCGAATCTTGTTTGCTTTTGACAAATCGATGTATTCGAAATACAATAGAAACCACTTTAGTATTTAGCAACCTGACAGCGCCGATTCCAGATCACTGAATATATATTCCTAGAACTTAATTATTCATGTTTTGTGAAGCAAACTGGAGAAATTGTATCTTGCGAAGTCTTGTTTATTCATCTGTCGTTTAGAATTAAATAAATAATATTGAAAATCGTAAACAAAATTTAAAAATTGCCATATTTGTTATCACAGAAAAATTACGAATATTCTAATATGATGGCATACAACTTCAAATGTCTGCTTGATTATAAGATTGGAAACGTAATTTTAAATACTCGCTGTGTGTACAGTGAAGCCTCATAACATCATGTTTGTATGCAGATAAATCATTTTCGGGAAATCTTATGAAAGTTTACAATTCTTCATCAGTTTTCTTCCCCGTAATTTTCTTACTCTGTATATCACCTTTATTTCCATTTTCCTCTTCAACTTTCTCCTTTTCTAGCGCATATCCGAATATTTCGTCGATATCTTCAAGAGTAAGATGAGAACAGAATTGTTTACAGCCATCCAAGCCTACACCTTCTTTTGATTAACTCTAATCTTCTCCAAATATATAAGCAAATCCTAGATGTCTAACACGTGCACCAGAGTCGTAGCTAGGGTTTTCAGCGCCCAGGGACAATTGAAGATTTCTCGCCCTCTACTGCTTGCCAAGGATGGAAAACATTTAATTCTAAAATGTCGTAACATCAGTTTGGCGCCCCTTGGATTCTGCGCTCGGGGACAGATGCCCCCTCTAGCTACGCCCCTGACGTGCACCGAACATATTTTAAAACCAAGGGAACTCACGAGATTCGTTATGTACTACAATGATCATAGGCCCCAATTTACATCGACAGCGACGTTTTTTCGGGAAAGAGACAGAATAAATATGGCTTTCTTCAGAGGGAACTGTTTATGGAAATCGTTCACGTTACTTTCAAAGTTCAAACATAGACATACAAAAAGAGATCGATTGTTTATCTTTATTATGCTGGATATTTCCTCGATTCAATAGTTCGATAAGATTTAAAACGTTTAGCTGCAGAAATCTAATATAAACATTTTCAACATTTAAGTCTTCAGATTACTAGTCTGTTACACAACATTTTATCTCATGGATCTAAATTTTAAATGTAAGCCTAGATTTTCAAAAGTGCCGTTATTATGATTGGCTGCCGGATATAACAGATTTTACTGTATTGGAAGTTTTTCTGCTCATTCCTTGCTAGACAGTTTTTTCGGAAGTTTTAAAACGGTACTTGATTGAACTGATTGAATGAAAGGGCATGTTGTGGCTTGGACTTATACATAAATTTTAAATAATGGTTAATATCGTTTTATTTGTTTTGTTGTTTTTGGAATGACAACGGAAATATTATTCAGTTTTAGTTGCTGTAAAAATTTTTTTTTATCTAGTTCGTAAGATCTTTAATAAAGATTATTTTTAAATAAGTGTGGATTAAAGTTATTTAAAGAAACGGAGTTCTAATTATAACGATTAATTTGGAGTCAGGAGCCAATAGGCATATTGATCTATTAAAACTCGCTGCGTTTTTTTTTAATTTTTTTATTAGTGAAAACTCTCTAACTTTCTTATTTGTTATCTGCGATATTTTCGCAGTGTCCGCAGAATGAAATTTTGACTCATCAGCGAAGTTGGTTTCCCTTTTGGAGCTGATACTTTGTGGCAGCACTGTAAAGCGCTAACCATCCATCAAGGAAGCATGGCTGCGTTCGTCGGTATAGTGTCTTTAGCTAGTAGAAATGCTCGTCGCTCTGTTTTATCTGGAATCAGTAGGTTAAAAAATTCAACGAGAATAATAGGTACGAACATAGTAATGACTCGTACGAAAATTTTGCGAAGCATATTATTATGAGCTTGATTGTGTACACTTTACATAGTTTCTGATGTCTGTGTATTTATATCCAACGCAATTACATAATAGTAGCTTGGAAACCTAGCATAATTATGTGCTGTATAGTATTTGTTTAGTACCGAGATATTAGTAGTAAAAGGTATTTTTAGTATAACTATTAAATGCAGTAATATAATTAAATAATTTTCACGATCTCTTAATCTGATCATGCTTGAATCAGTCTTGTTGTTCATTATATGTGGAAGGCAACGGAAGTGTCATTTACCATGCAGTTTCATTGTGAAGGCTTTATAAAACTAAGCATAAGTGATTAGTCGTTAGTGTTTCAGTATACTGATTGCAGATATATAATAAAAATTTGTTTTCTGCAGGTAGTTCAGCATTCCTTTCAATTTCCCTTCTTTCCGAGTTCGTACATTACGGAAATAATTTAGTGGTAGGCAGCTGTTTCAGCTGTTGTAGAAACAGAGATAGCTTGGAAAGTTATCCGAGTAAAGTTACACAAGCAATGTTGCAATTATATCAATCTCCTACCGGTTTATTAGCAAAAGGATGGTGTAGATTAGTTCAAAATGTAGTGTTTTTTTTTTTTTTTTTTAAATGGCCGTTTTGTATTGTCTTTAAGGCCCCCTTCCTTTTTTTTTGTCATAAACAAGTTTGCAAATTTTTGTTAAGCTTTCCAAGTAACAAATTCATTTATTGATTATAATTAAGTACATGAGGTACTTAATTATAGCAAACTACAAACGTTAAAAGATTATGTAAAGAAAATTCAGTAATATTTGCATTATGCGTGATGCAGTTTAGAGATTGAAATTCTAGCATGTGAAATAATTTTGTCTGGGAAGCAGGTTTTTTTTTTTTAAATGGCTGGGAATTTATTTAATAGCCTTTAACCTTATGCCACTACGAGGGCTAGAAGTGGTGGCCATTTCATTATGGAAGCACTAAATAGGTGGCCTCCTATGAAGGGATGAACAGTTGCAATGGTGCCTTCTCCGAGATTTGGACCAGGGCCTAATTGCTATGGCAGTCAGGGTCACTAACAACTATACCGACTGGGTGGTTAAGTAGATTTACTGTATATTCTTTTATTCTTCAATGCATTTTCTCATTTTTTAATTCAGTTAAAGAGTTATCTTTATGTAAAAAATTACTGTCAATTATATGTAGTAATCAATTTGAGAATGTATCAAAAGACTGTCGCATAGGTAGTCTTTAAAACCTCGCTAATGCCAAATTATTAAAACTGCTAGATACTGGTAAATTGACTCAACTTCAAATCCAAGTGATGGTTGATGTTTGTGGGGTCCTCAATGTACTATTATTTGAATATGAGCCATTTTCTCTTCAGAAGTCCTCTACAAAGCAATCATTTCCTTTCCCTGATAGCCCTTCTGTGCTTTACCATATTTAAATAACAACTTAGCTGATCTTAAAAAGCAAACTTTTTTCTTTATTTTTTCAAAAATTTGTTTGCAGTAAGTTTTTTCATATAGAAAAAAAGCAAATCATTTTAAAACTTGGAAAAATAAAAAAGATGTTTCTTTTGTAGAAAAACCTAATTTTAGCTTTTACTCATAGAGCAAAAATATTCTGCTTAATAGGTAGAATATCTTGAAGAAAGTTGACCTGTGTCAGTCTGTCAGAAATGCTTTGAATCTTTCTTTAGAACAATTACCTGCGTAAAGCTCAGTTATACATACTTTTAAGAACTTTTTTTTGTATATGCAGGCATGTTATTTTCAGAAGATGGCCATTAAATTTTGAGAATTCTTCTCAATACAATTATTCAAATTAATTTCTTTGCTGTTGTCAGAAACAGTTTTCATAACCTTAATTTTGGGTATATGAGCATATTGTATGTATTTTAAGAGTAACAATATATTTTTATAAAAATAAGATTTTTATAAATCTGAAATCAAATGATATCTTTTACAATGTGACTAATTTCTGTGTTTTTTGTGCTAAATGTTTCTTTTAAGGTTTTTGGTGTCTATTCAACAAACAGAATAAATTGTTGTTAAATATAGCTTTAACCCCTTTGTGAAAACATGTTGCTGAACTAAAAAGCCTCTGTAGATGGGTGTGTCATATAGCCATCAGTCCCAAACATCACTAGCAGCCGGGTGATGCACTGGTACAACACATCGTCTCCAAGGTGAGTTGTGCTAAGTGGCATGCCATCTCGTAAGAGGACTAGCTGCTGATGTATGTATGATACACTCTTTCTGAAGGAATTAATGATGACATCTGTTTATATTTAAGAATTTTCAACTACCTCTGTAAACACCGTAGTGTCCTACCACCATCTTTGGCAGAAGTTAGAGAAGGAATTAAAAAGCTCAAAAATAACAAGGCCCTGACTCGTTTACTTCAAAACTTATTAAAAGTGCTGCAGGTCAAAACATTGAGGAAATACACCACCTCATTGAATCAGTTTGGAACCAAGAAGTTTTACCTGAAGATTGGAAATTGAGCATCATTTGACCTATACACTAAAATGGAGACATTTTGGAATGTACCAACTACAGGGGAATCAGTCTCCTTTGTGTTTTCTATTTTCCAATATACTTTTAGTAGACTACTAACTTATACAGAAAATATTGCAGGTAATTACCAATGTGGTTTCCGCAAAGGAAGATCTACAGCAGAACAAATCTAACATTAGGCAAATTTTGGAAAAAACTAATGAATATGACATTATTAGTTTAGTGGGAACAAACTAATAGTGACATTATTAATGTGACTATTAGTTTAACTAATAATGACATTATTAAGTAACATTATTAATGAATGACATTATTAGGAAAAAACTAATGAATATGACATGCACCACCTTTTTGTTGATTTTAAGACTGCTTACGATTCAGTAAACAGAAAATATTTAATTGAAGCTATGAGAGAATTTGCAGTACCTGAAAAACTTATAAATTTGGTCACTTAACTCTTACTGAGACAAAACTTAGGGTTAAAATCCAGAATAATCTTTCTGAGCCTATTGTTGTTTCAAATGTGCTCAGACAGGGCGGTGCGCTGGCCTGCTTGCTTTTTAACCATGCCCTCCAAAAAATCATAAAAGACTCCAACTTAATACTCGTAGAACTATCTTTAAGACGATTGTTCAGATTTTTGCATTTGCTAACGATAGTGACATAGTCGCACGCACTCCCGAGTCTTTTGGAGAGGCTTTTACATCTCTAGAGGCTGCAGCCAACAAAATGCATCTAGCAATCAACCAAATTAAAACTAAATACAGTCAAAAGTCTTTAATCCGGACTAGTCGGGACTTCGGCGATTCCGGATTATCGGTTTTTCTGGTTTATAGATCATCAGTTTAAATCTGGTAAGATGGCATGCAGAAATTATAAAATTAAAAATATGAAACCGTAATTTATGAAATAAAGACCAATTATGATCTGAAGGGTCTCAAAATTTACAAAAAAAAAAAAAAAAAAAAAGCTTAATATTTACTTTTTTTTTTACTTTATTAAGCATTTCTTTCAACGCGCGCATGTGTAAAGACTACATTATGCATAGTCGAAATTAGAAAATTGCAACCAGAAAACTACTTGATGTGAATTCGGGATATTAATAATGATGAGGAATTTTATTTAAATCATATCAAAGATGGAGTACATCGAGAAGAATTACTATATTTAGTAAGGAATTGTAAGCCGAATAAAACATCTGCCCTATATTTAGAAGATGTAAGAATAAGCCCTGAAGATAGGATGCTGACAGATCAACTTCCAGTTCATTGCGCGCTGCGTTGTCCCCCCGCACAGCAGCGTGAAAGTGATAAACATATTTCGGAATGGTTAGAGAATGAAAGGATATGCCTTTATCTATTTTTTGCAGCAATTCCACTTTTTGTTTGATGGACATCTAAACATGCTTTCACTTTGTGGATCCTTTGGTAGCTCCAGATCGGAAATTCTTTTTGACTTAATCGAAAGTTTAAGCTTACTTTTATAAAATTGCTCTAACAGTCTGCAAAAAATAATAAGGTGGATTCAATTTGAAGATTAAGGAATAACGCAATCTGCAACATTAACTAAAATAGATAATTTTAGCTTAGCTTATACCGTCCATTATACATTAAACGCGCATTCATAAATGTATTATGCGCATGCGCAGAAAGTTTGTAGCTTTGAGGTCCGGATTATAGATCATTCTGGATTATGGACATCCGGATTAAAGACTTTTGACTGTACATGCCATGTGGTAATAACAGCAGCCCCTATTTTGAAATTGGGGAATTACAGTACAAAGTCCGTAATCCGGACATCTATTATCTGGAATGATCGATAATCTGGACCTCAAAGCCACAATTTTTTTTTTTTTTTTTTTTGTATGCTTTACGTTGTATGCTTTTTTTGTATGCGCGTTGGGAGGATTTGTTTTCAGATACGTTAAAAAATGCTTGGCATAATTTATGGCCAGATGCTATATTTCGTGGTGAGGACGATGAAGATGATAGCTGCAAATTTGAAGGTTTTCGGACATTGAAAAACTAAAGGTGAAATTTTCGAGTTATTGGATTTTGTAAAGAAATGCGGAGAAGCGGTAATAAATGAAGATGATATAACAGAAGCTTTTCATTGCGACGACAATGCCCCAATCATCAATGAATTAACGGGCGGCGAAATTTGTAGTATGGTTCTAGATCTAGAAAATACCGCTTCCGATAGTGAAGAAAGTGAAAGAGAGGTTATTAAAAACGAAAAAATTTCGATTGACAAGTTAGTCGGTATTCTTGACACAGCAATTACAGGACTTGAACAGTGGAACTTTGTAACTGAACAAGAAATTATGTCTGTTTATAGAATTAAAGAGAAAGTATTAGCACAAGAAACAAAGCAACTTAAACAACTTACATTGAAAGAAATTTTTAATAAAGTAAACAAATAAGCTTTTTTTTATGTAAATTTTGATACCCTTTAG